GGACACAGACACGGGCCCAGGCTTATGTGCGCGCACACACGCGCACACACACACACACACACACACATATGCATGAGGCACATGCATGCATAGGCCATAGGGATGCAGACCCACACATATCTACACATGCACAGGGAGTACAGATGGTGGTGCAGATGCTTGTGCACAGTCACACACAGTCACACATGTGTGCACAGGTCCAGGTGGGCTTCATGCCGTGACAGCTACCTGGAGGTCTTCAGGTCTTTGTTCACCAGGCCATGGGCAGCTTTGGCTGGCAGAGAGTGTCCCTTGGATAGAAATGACCTGCCGGGTGAGATGGTGCACATCTACAATCCTAGCACTCAGGAGGCAGAGCCAGGAAGATCACCACCAGCTTGGGCTACATAATGAGTTTGAGGCCAGCCTGGACTACATAGTTGAGACCCTGTCTTAAAAACAAGAAGTGACTTGCCACTTTACAGGAACCTGAGACCTCAGACCTAGCCAGTCTCAGCCAGATCTGTGCTGTGTGTGGCTCTGGCTCAGGCTCTGGGCCGGGCTTGCCAAGATGTTTGTGTGCAGGAAGCACCATTTCCCATTGCATTGTTCTGGGGTGCGAGGCAAGGACAGTGGTCTCTGCTCAGGAGGGAACAGGAATCGGGTCCTGGAGGAGTGAGACTCTTCTCGAGTTAGATTCATCCTGTCTTTTGGGGTCTGGCTGCTGCCCCTTCACCTCCAGGGAGCCCTCTGATTGCTTTGCCCCCTGCCCTTTCCTCTGCATGGCATTTTTTCCTCAGTAAGTTCTCATGTTAATTGCAGGACACTTGAGAATGAAGCCATCAGGTGGGAAGGGGGGATTACAAATTTTTTGCTTTGTTTTTCAATAAATTTTATTTTATTCCATTCCCCCCTCAAGCCCCCTCCCCTCCCTATGTACAAAAGCTTTGTTTCCATTTTTCCCTTCTATTTTCACTTTTTTCTTGTCCCTTCCTTTCTCCCTCCCTCTTCCCTTGTTCCCCTTCCCATTTGAACACTTTCTTCCCATTTCCCAACATCGATTATACATTTAGTCCTTATTTCCACTTTTGGTTTCTCATACCAGAGAAACAATGTGGTATTTACACATGTGTGTCCAATTTATTTCACTTAAGAGTATGGTCTCAAGGTCCATCCATTTAACTATAAATGTCTGAAGCTCATCCTTCTTTATGGTACAGTTGTAGTCCATTGTATAAAAAACACACGTCTTCCTTATCTACTCCTCAGTTGATGGGCATTTGGGCTGTTCTCAAGACTTAGCTATTACAAACTGTGCCTCTATAAGCATGGGTGTGCACATATTGCTGTAGTCGGATGCTTTTAATTCTTTTGGGAAGATACCAAGAAGAGGTATAACTGGATCAAATGGAACCTCTAGTTTTAGTTTTTTTGAGAAATCTCCACACTGATTTCCACAGTGGTTGCACCAGAGGGGGGATTACAAATTGAAAAAAGAACAGATGGCTGGTGCCGGCCTCCTGGATGCAGGCACACCTGAAGTCGACTGGCATCTTTTCTTTCTGGTTACCTGGACCAGCACCTCACACTCTCATGTTGTGAGGCCACCCGGGTTGTGCATCCTTGCAGCTGGTAAGGGGCCATCTTCTCCCTTCTCACAACTGTGGAGAAGATTTGTGAGGACCCAGGCCACAGAGTGAGGGCAGACACAGCTGAGCCCCAGGCAGCAGCAGAATGAGTGCCTGAGCAGGGAAACTGAGGTGGCGGAGTTTCCCCAGGGAGCATGTGTACAACCACAAGCACCAAGCAGAGCGAGGGGTGTGCTGAAAGGGTAAATTGGCCCCATCCCGCTCTTCCTGAAAACCTGTTTCCCCTGACCTGATGACAAAACCTGAATGTTTGCTGCTCTCAAGAGAGCCCCTGAGACTCCCCTACTCATGTCTCAGCCTTCCCTGCCTGCCGAGCACCTCCCCAGGACCTTGCCCCGTGGTTGTGCAGCACTGGGGACACTTGCTGAAGCCAGGACCCAAGGATCCATGCAGGGTATTGACAGCAGGGCCATGCTCTCCAGTGCCACAGCAGGGTCTGGGCTGGAGAGGGCCCCTGGGGGGCTTCCAGGGAGAAGGGTTAGGGTTAGGGTTAGCCTACTGAGTGCTGGGATGACAGGTGTGCCCACCCTGCCCAGTGATCTCTGAACTGTTTCTTGTGGCAGCATGGGAGTCTGTGATGATCTCAAAACAAGAAGTTTACTGCCTCACAAACACAAGATCCTGAGTTTGATCCCCGGTACAAAAAAAAAAAGTTTAATTTAGAAAAAAACTACCACAGACAAAATGGACCAGTAGGGGGAGGGGCTGCTTTAGGTCTTTGTGGAGCTCTACAATACCCTCAGGCTGTGCTTGGACTGGGAGCAGAGAGGGGGAGAGAGACAGAGACAGGGATGGGAGGAGGATGGGTCTGGAAAATCAGCACAGCTCCTGGAAGATGCAAGAGTTGGGCAATGGCGCACATACTCACCACTAAATCACCCGTTACTCATCTCACAAGCACAGCTATATTGATCTGATAAGCGACAGCAGCCTCAGATCAAGCACATTTGTATTATCAGGGGGAAAAGCAAACTAGAAAGGCACCCCACGAGTGTGGGGCTCAGGGGCGCCGCTCTCAGCAATGAGAGGCTCTGGGTTTGGCTCCCAGGTTCTCAGTGCCACGTGGGAGTCAGGGTCCTGAGAGGCTGCCCCTCCGTGCCATGTTAGAGTGTAGACTGGATCATTATTCAGTGTGTGGTGAGGTTCAAGGGAGGCACCAGAGTGGCTGGGCTAGTGGGCAAGGCACACAGAGTGAGACCTCCATTTATTATGGTTTCTGCAGGACCGGATGGGCAGGCCCCTCACAGTGTCCTGTTGGGGTTGGTTCAGCAGGCTGAGGCATAAGGACTGAGCCCAGGGGTCTGGTCCCTGACCCTGAGGGAACAACTGTGGGGTGGGGGTGACAATGTCAGGACAGTGACAGCTGTAGGGAAGGAGCCCAGTGAGCTCCGGAAGACAGCTTGTTTGCATGTGAAAGGCGTTCATTTTCCAGGAATTAGCCAATCTGGAAGGAGCTGTCCCACCGAGGCCACCGAGGCCCCAGGGATCCGAGCTCAGGGTCTGAACCCTCCCTGCCTGCTCCACATTGCCCTCCTGGCTGGCGGCTTTGGCTGGCTCCCTCCTCCCATCGACATGCTCATCCCTCACTCTCAGACCAGATGCGATTGCTTGGTTTTGGGGGCCTTTTCCCTCAGGATCAGTAATGCCCACTGCACAGAGAAAAAACTCAAATAGCACGACACTGAGAAGCCAGCCCCATCCCTCTGCTCTGCCCCTGCTTCCTGGTTCCCAGGTCCCTCCCTACATAGAAACCAATTCCGCTGCTGCAGCCCACGCATGTGGCTGGTGACAGTGTTCTCACACAGCAGTCCCTGCCCAGGCTTGCTCCCCCAGGCACACGAGGGGCTTCGTGACATCTCGGCTCTAGATGCCAGCTCTGGGCCACTGTTGCTCCTGCCGGTATGAGCCAGGTGCACTTGGGTGTCCCCGAGTATGCCTCCTTGGGACTGGGCAGCTGTGGGAGAGGCTGCGGGGTGGAACTGTCTTGTGAAAAGCACACGTGGGGCACATTTCAAACAGCAACCCGAGGCCAGTCCTGCTATGCACCTCCCCTCAAGTGGGCCAGCATTGGTCTGACTTCCTGCCTGGTGAGGATGGGGACTCTGAGGATCTGGTATCTGGCGGGGGGGGGGGGCACCCATCCACCCTGGGAGCCAGGGAGCATGGCAGCCCATGTCTCTGGACCTTGGCTTCTTTTCTGGAAACCTGGAGAGGACTCTGCAGCTGGAGCCACTGCCTCCTGGCCTCAGCTGTCTGTGACTCAGGACCAGTCCCTGCCTCGGTGCCCTGAGATGAGAAGTCACACTCAGGGGTGGGCAGGATGTGCCAGGAAAGCTGAGCTCCACTGAAGAAGCCATCACCCCACACAGACAGTCGGCATGGCGGGTGGGGGCTGTGACAAGCCTCAGCTCAGCTGGGATTGAAGCAGCCATGCTTGGGGACAGGACACCCTGCGATGTCCAGTGTAGGAGCTGCCTCTGACCAAAGCCTGAGTCCCTCTGGGGGTGCCTCACTCTCTGTTATCCCCCCATAGGGTGCTCCATGCCCCCCAGGGAACCTTCTGGAAGCCTTTCAAAGCCCTGTGGCTCTGGCTTCCACCTAGCACTTCACACTCAGCACCCCAGCCTGTCTCCCTTGACTCCTGAGCCCCTGGAGCTGTGCCCAATGCGAGGCATCTGTATCTCCAACCCATGGACACATAGGACCAAACCTCTGCTGGCCACATTGGTTCTGTGGCCTCCCCAGCCTCATTCGAGGGCCAGGCGCTGGGGACCAGCAGGCGACTCACTCCTGACATAGTGTCTGTCTACTCTCTGGTTCCACCTGTCCTCTGCCTGGGTGGGGGGCACCAGCAGACCCCACAGTCCCTTTCTCCAAGACAGGTGGCCCCAGGATACCAGGGAGGGGTGGGGCAGCAACCAGTGTGGTCTGCTGCCCTTCTCAGCCGGGAACTTGCACTCCCCGTTTCTCGGCAGAAGTCATAAACCTGTTGTTTTTCTCTGAGACAGGGTCTTACTAGGTAGTCCAGGCTGTCCTTGAACTCTCAGCGATCCTCCTGCTGCCACCCCCCGCCCCCCGCAAGTGCCGGGATTACAGGTATGAGCCACCACGCCTGGCTCATAAACCCATTTTCCCCTAAATTCTCCTGGTTTAAAAATGATATCTCTTCAGATATTTTCAAATATTGTGGGAATCACACAAAACTGTCCAAGACCTGGATGGACCCAAAGGCCACTGGTTTGGAATTCTGACAATGGCCCTTTCAGCCCATCCCACAGATGAGAAAAGGCGAGGTGGGGAGGGGAGGGGTTGGGGAGGCGCAAGATCGGTCCCTGGTCCCCCTTCCCTGCTTCTTTAGGTCCCTTCCAGAGCGTCTGCTCCTTTGTCTCCTCTCAGTCTCTCCCTCCCTCCTTTCCTCCCTCCCTCCGCCCACCGAGCATCCCCAGGACTGCGGACCCCGCCCCTCCCAGCCCCTCCTCAGCCCGCGAGCATTTAAAGGGGACAGCGCTGGCAACGGACACCTCGCCTGGACCAAGACAGCGCCTGGACCAAGACAGCACCCGGACCGACCTTCAGCCCCAGATCCTCTGCAGGTGGGATCCCAGCCCTTAGCCTGCAGGACTCTGGCCCCCAGACCCTGACTCGAGGTGACAGCGCAGGAGACCTGGACCCGACCAGCGGGCTGGCCAGAGTCCAATGTTAGCAGGGGTTCCTTGCCCCAGGGTCCGCACCCTGGCCTTAGGGCTCAGAGGCTCTGACACTGGAACAGAACTGCACGCAGAATGTGACTCCAAATCCGGCTCTGCAGGTGACAGGGACCTGGCAGTGTCCATGTGAGCGCTGCCTGGCACCTGGTCCACAGGGAGGGGGCATCGGAACAAGAGGCTGAGGAGGGGGTTGGAGCAGCCTGGGGACAGCTGGACAGCGTGACTGGGTAGGGGCAGCAGAGAGGGTCCCTGGCCACCAGGACAGGTGACCAGGATGGGACAGGGGACAGGAGGAGCAGGAGGTCCTGCTCAGGAGGAAGCAGCCTTGAGAGCAGGGAGCAAGAGGAGGTACATGCAGCCCTCCTGTCCCTGTCCCCAGAGGCTGCGATGTCTGGCCCTTGGTGGCCCCTCGCCCTGGCCCTGGCCCTGATCCTGACCGGTGTCCCGGGGGGCCATGCCCAGCATGAACCAGTGATGGTAGCTGAGGGTCCTGGGCTGGATGACCTCCTGCAGCAGGCAGAGCGCCTGCTCCTCCTCCAGGGAGACCTCCGGGGGCTGCCGGGAGCGGCCCTCGAGCATGGTGAGTAGGGGGCTCCCTCCCACCCTCCCTGGCAGTATCAGCTTCCTCCTCTATTCCACCAGGAAGGGACCTTCAGAGGGGAGGCTCTGGGTACCCACCACCGCCACCCCTTGTGTGACAGTTGTAAGTACTGTTTCCTGGCCACCTAAATGCTGGTCGTGCTGTTTGAGTTTGCTGGCAGCCTCCTGGGTGCTGTCTGTATCATTTTACAACCAAGGAAATGGAGGCTCAGAGAGGTTGCATGACCACCCAAGGGTCACACAGCAGGGGAGGGGGTGGCATTGGCGGAGCAGGGCTTGGACCCTCTGTGTGTCCCTGGGAGGGGGGCTCAGGCAGGTCCCTCAGGGCTGCTCTCCTCCCCCAGAGTCCCAGGTCCTGCAGCCCGCCTGGCTCTCCAAGCGTCAGCACCCAGGCAAGAGGGAGGAGGACACCGAGGAGGGGCCTGAAGAGGAGGAGGAGGAAGGGGGGGCCATGGGTCCCCAAAAGCGGCAGCACCCCGGCCGGCGCTCACCCTGGCTGGAGTATGTGGTCACCAAGAGGCAGCACCCAGGCCGAAGGCTGGTGGATCTCCGCAGCCAGAGGAGCTGGCAAGAAGAGGATGTGGAGGAGGACAGAGAGGGGCCGATACCCAAGAAGCGTCAGCACCCTGGCAAGAGGGCCCCAGGAGAGCCCTGTGGGCCCCAGGGTGCCTGTGACCAAGCCAGCCTCCTGCTGGGGCTCCTGGATGACCTGAGCCAGGCCCAGGGGGACCAGGAGAAGTGGCAGCACCCAGGGAGGGGAGCGTCCTGGGCTAGGGAGCCCCTCGAGGCATGAGCCCCGCTTCCTGGATGTGGAGTTGGGGTCAGAGGACATCTGACCCCCAGCTCTTCACAGTCCCCCAGCCCCCTCTTAGATCTAAACTGCACACCTGAGCCCCTTCCTTCAGAGACGCAACAGCCAGCCTAGAAGGGAAAACCCAAGTTGCCCACACCTGAGCCCCTTTCTTCCACGTCATCCAAGGGATCCCTACAGAGGGCAGGTGCCAGGACGTCCACTTCCAGAGTCCAGCTCCTGTCCCCTGCTCCCTGCTGCATGTGGCCAGACTCTGGTTGCATGCCCTTCTCCAGTGTCCCCCCTCCCCTGCTCCCAGGCTCCTCCTGCAGGTGGGCAGAGCCTCTCCATGCTGCACTCCCCTGAGATGTCACTCTGGGAAACTCCAGTGGTGCAGGTGGCTGTGGAAGTGGATGTGTTCTGGAACAGACGTCACCCCGGAAACCATGGCTCATGTGTAACCCTCTAGGCACCCTGCCCTGTCCCTGACAATCACCCTAATGACAATAAAGTGACCACTGGATCATCTAGAGCTGTGTGGCTGCATTTCTGTGCAGGTCTCCTGGGGGATTTAAATGGCAGGGGAGCTCCTTGCTCTGTTGCAGGGAATCAGGGATGCTGAAGGTGAGAGCCCTGGCCACTCTCCCCATCTCAGAGCATGGGAGGGAGGAGGGTGAGGGACACTGGGGAAACCAAGACCTAGAGAAGCAGTTCCTGGCCAAAGACATGAGGCCAGGTGCAGCCTGGGGTGGAGGGGACATTTGGGGTCCTGCCCAGAGGATGAATAGGGCTCAGGTTTGTAATCACTGCTCTATTGTGGTCCTTGACAGCCTTTGGCACCTGTAAGCCTACTATCAGACAGGCATGACACTGGCAGAGGACCTGGCTGCTATCAGGAGACCAAAACCAGGGGCTTCTGGGGCCAGTCAGGGGCAGCTGGGTGCAGGACAGGAAGGAGGCAGGGGGCAAACAGAAGCCATCACCTGAAGACACCTAAATCCAGAACATTTAAGAAACCTGCACAACGCCAGCAACAATAAACACACATCACACCGTGTGCCAAGGATACACTCCCTGTCCCACCCTGACCATCAGTCGTGAGTGTTTCCTCTTCAGCAACTTACTGACTCCCTTCTGCCCTGTGCACCATCATTCCAGCATACCCTTGTAGAAAGGTCGCATCAGCTTCTGTCCTGGAAGATGGCTAAGCCAGGTGGAACCTCAGTCTCCTTTTCTGTGATCCCTGTACCCCTATGGCTGTCTGAGCCTGAAGGAGATGGAATGGTCCATGGACAGCTCCTAGAATAGGCCTGCTGGAGTAGACTGATAAATGGCTCAAGGCCAGAAGGAGCTAAACACCAACCCTGTAAGACTCACCTGTTCCTTCCCTGCCTCATTCTCCAATGACAAACATGAACAAAAACAAAATAAAACAAAAGAGAAAGGCCCTGGAGCATTACTGTAAGTCCATGCCAGTGGCTGGGGCCTTAGCTTCTGACCAGTTCACCTGCTGCCCTTCAAATGTCCCCTCCTTCCTCTTACATGTGCCTTTTGTTGGGCATAGGAGGGGGTGGAGGTATACTCCAGACACTCCCACATTCCCAGCCTCCCTTGCAGATGGGCAGAGTCATGTGACCATTCCTTGCCAGTGAGACCTGAGTGTGTAACCTCTGGGCAGCTGGTACCTCTTCTTGCCTCCTTGTTCCTGCCATGGCAGTGTGGGAGGGCACAAGTTGAAACACCAGGGCATATGATAGAAGGATTCTGGGCCCTGGACTCACCAAATGAACTTTAGATACTGCCTACCACATCAGACTTTTTCATGTGCAAGAAATAACTTGCATTAAGTCACTGAGATTTTAGAGTTTATTTGTTACCAGACACTTAGCCAGTTCCGACAAACACAGATGCCTCTTCCCTGTTCTCTGCTCTGAAACCCTTCCAGCTTTTCCTTCTCACACACGCCTGCCTTCATCTTCACTGCCCAAATCAGTGCCTGGCATGAAGTAGGCACTCATTTATTGCATAGACGTTGAAAATTTCAGGTGACTTCCATTCTATTTCCCCATCATGACTTCCTGGGACTCCCTGCAGTAAAAAGTCTTCCTGTCCAGTGGGGAGATGACTAGTCTTGCAATCATGAGGGTACTTGAATCTGACAGGTGATGATGGCAGGGAACAGAGGGTGCCAGGTGACCCCAGTGAGATTGAGCATGTTCCCTGGAGGAGGAAACCTTCATGTGTCCAGAAGAAAATAAGACAGAAGGTGTTGAAGACAAGTGGGAAGGGAACACATGCCCTTGAGGGTGCTGGAGTTTGGAGTCTGGTGTTTGACCTGCCATATTTTAGCCCTGAGGAGCTGAGCCCTGTGCCTGACCCAGCTTTTCCCCTTCCCACCCAGGGAGTCTGATTCTACAGCTGATTGGTGTGGAATGGTGTGGAAAGGTGTAGATTGGTGTGGACAGGTGTGGAATGGTATGAAATGAAGGAAGGCTTCCTAAGGGGAGGCTTGAGTTAAGCCCTGAAAGATAAGAAAAGTAAAATTTTTCTGAGCCCTTTCTCTGGGGCCAGATTTTGAGCAAATACTTTCACACCAACTGCTCTGCAAAACACGAATAACTTATAATTATATGTGAATGGATAAACGGTCCACCTAGAGAAAAGGAAACCAAGGGAGAAATGGTAGCCTTCCCAATTTCACGAGCCTGAGACTTGGGAGTTGTCTCTATGCCTCCCTCCCCATTCCCCACACCTTAGCCACCATGTCCTGGAGATTTACCTCGACATGTGTCTCAAGTCCACCTAGTCCTTCCAGCTTCCAGCTGCTTCCCCACTACCCTGACCCTGGCCACCAAGGTTCATGATGTCAAGGCCGCAGTGGTCTCCTCACTCATCCCTGGATTCTGTCCCCCAAACCTGTCCTCCACACGTAGCCACAGGCATCTCCTCAAAATCAAATCCAGTCATAGCGCCCATCCTGACTGAAGGCACCCAGGATAAACCTTGACCCCTCTAGATGGCTGGATGGCCTGCCTAATGGGCTCCTGTTTCCTGGACACGCTTCATGGCCTTGGTTCATGTGCCTGCCTCTGCCTAGAACCATTCTTTTCTCCTTTTCTCCATCTTCCCTGTTTTACCTCCTAGTTTGCCTTCTGGTTCTGTGCAGTTTGGAAAGCAAAGAGTACATTTCCCAGACTCCCTTGCAGCTAAGATTTGTGGCTACATAGCTAGTTTGCTTCATGGATGCTCTCAGGGGGAAATTTAGAAGGTAGCATGTCTCTTCCTACTAGCAAGCAAGGATGTGTTGCTGTTTGGTTTTTCTGCAGTAGCTTTCCAGTGTGTGAACTCAAGTGTGAGGATATCTGGAGTCAATTGTACTGGCAGCGTCTTGGTTAGTTTCATAGCTATGGTGTCTTTGTTTATTTTATTTTATGGTACTGGGGATTGAACCCAGGACCTTTGCACTGAGATACACCCCTGCCCTTAAAAAAAAATTTTTTTTTAAATTTTGAGATAGGATCTTGTTAAATTGATGGGTTGCCTAAGATGGGCTTGAACTTTTGGTCCTTCTGCCTCAGCCTCCCAGAGTGCTGGGGTTACAGATGTGTACTACCACACTGTTTTTTTTTCTTTGTTAGTACATGTTTGCAATACATAAAAATTATGGTCATTGTACTAGTTGTGCTTTTTATTTTTAAACAACTTCTTTGGAATGCATATATACACGTGTACATAGTTACCTTTTAGCAGCTTTACTGAGATACAATGAATATATTGTATAATTCACCCATTTAAAGTGTGTAATTCAATGATTTTTAGTATGTTCACTGAGTTGTGCAACTACCACCACAATTCAAGCACATTTTACTCACCCTGGAAAGCAGCTTTTTCCTCTTTAGTCATCATTCCCCAAACTGCCTTGGTCTCTTCTAGCTCCTAATAACCATTTTTCTGTTTTCTGCCTCTATGAATTGGCATATTCTATATATTTCATAAAAATGGAATCATATAATATATTACCTTTTATGTGTGGCTTCTTTTAATGAGAATACCTCCTTTGGAGGTGTTGGGGATCAAACCCAGGGCCTTGTGTTTGCAAGGTAAGCACTTTACCCCTGAGCCACACCCCCAGCCCAGCCTAATAGTTTTAAAGTCTGGGTTTGTTATGACTTGTATCTAGAGGTCCCCGCAAAGCCTCATGCAGTTGTAGGTGGGGTTTTTCAGAGGTGGCTAGATCTAGAGTGTATGATACTGGGATGGATTTGTGGTGCAAGGCTAGGATCAAGGACTAGGATTAAGGGTGTGTGAGTGCTACCTGCCCTAAGTAGTCTGGATAAGATATAAAGGATAGAAAGATCTGTGGTTGTTCCTTGCTTGTTTTACTACCTTCTGCCTGTCTGCCATATATCACCCTGCCTTATAGCCAGCCGATTATGGACTGAAACCTCTACAAACTGTGCGCTAAGTAAACCTTTCCCCCTTAACTTTGGATGTCAGGTATTTTGTCTCAGCAATGAGAGAAAAGTAACTAAGACAGTGTTGAAGCATGAATTGGCGCTTCGTTCCTCCATATAGCTGAGGGGTATTCTTCTGTATAGACAGACCGTACTGGTTCCTCATCAGCTGTTGGACTTTCAGGCTGTTGTGAACAATGTTACTATGAATACTCTACTGTATGTGTATTTTTGTTTGAACACATGTTTTTGATTCTTTTGAGTATACCCAGGAGCAGAATTGCTGGCTTATATGATAATTCTGCTTAATTTATTAAGGAACTACCAAACTGTTTTCTTGGATTGTATTTTATGTATGTACCTATTTCAGGGACTGAGGAGTGAAACTCAGTGGTAGGGCCCTTGCATGCCTGAGGCTCTGGGTTCCATCCCAGCACTGCTGAATAACAAAAAACAAAACAAAAACTTAACATATGGGAGGCTGAGACAGGAGGATCACTTGAGCCCAGGAGTTCAAGACTAGCTTGGGTAACAGTGAGACTCCACCTCAAAACAAACACAGAACGGGCCAGGGATTCAGCTCCATGACATTGTGACTGCAAAAACAAAACCATTAAAAAAAAAAAAAAACAGAAAGAAAGAAAAAGAAAAAATGTACTCATTTCAAGTATAGAATTTAGTGATTTTTTTTTTTTTTCAATAACGGGGATCAAACTCAGGACCTTGTGATTGTGAGGCAGCCAGTGCACCACTGAGCTAAATCTCCGGCTCTAATTTAGTGATTTTTAAAGTCACTTCACCACTGGCACAGCTGTCGATCCTCCCACCAATGGACTTCAGGTGACCCAGACAGCACCCAGCAAGCCAGACACCACATTCTGAATTCAGACCACCATATGCAAAACATCAAACAGGCAGTGGGGCCTGATCATCATGTGGGGCCTGACCACTCAGAGTGGGTGACTCCTGCATTGCCCATTGTGTGGCCCTGATCCCCACCTGCCAGTCACTGTTTCTCTGTACAACCCTTATCCTTCCTCACAGCTCAGCAAGTGCATGCTCACCTGTCTGGGGCC